GCTCCAAGGGGCCTCTCCTCCGGCCTAATGCCGCTGCACGTCCCTGCAGGCCACCTTCCTGAAGCTGGCTGGGCCCCAGCTGGTGCAGATGTTCATCGGGGACGGAGCCAAGCTGGTCCGGGACGCCTTTGCCCTGGCCAAGGAGAAAGCGCCGTCCATCATCTTCATCGATGAACTGGATGCCATTGGCACCAAGCGGTAGGGTGGGTGGTGCTGGGGACGCTGGCTCGGGCCGGCCGCTGGCTGTGCCGTGCTGCTCCTTCCCACCCTGCCCCTCCCTGGCTTCTGGGTCCCAGACTCCTAAGTGGCCGCCTGCTCCTGACCTGCTGTTCTGCTCACAGCTGCCTGCCGTGCTCCTCAACACACAAGGCGGCCACCTCCCTCACGGGGACCCTCAGGCCCTCACGGACACAGCCCACCCAGCCCTCTGCTGGGCCACCTGCTCTGGGCTCCTCGGTGTAAACACTGGACGTGGCGAGGCCGCCCCTGGCCCTCTGCCCTCACCCTGTCCCCTCTGCCTCCCTCTCCCCTCCTCCCCAGCCTCAGGCCCCTCAGTTTGGAGCGGTGCATTCAGCAGGGAGGCCTGTGCTCCTGGTGCCGCTGCCGGCGATTCGCCCACCTTTCACGTGGCAGTCGTTGTGCCCGAGCCCAGCTTGCGGGCCAGTCCCTGCCTGACAGGCCGATGCTTCAATGTCTCGGCCCCCTGTGCCCCACAGCTTTGACAGCGAGAAGGCTGGGGACCGGGAAGTGCAGAGGACCATGCTCGAGCTTCTGAACCAGCTGGACGGCTTCCAGCCCAACACCCAAGTCAAGGTGAGTAGCTGGTCACTGCCCAGGCCGTCTTGGGTCCCCTGGCAAGCGAGTGCTGGGGCTGGAATTGGAACTGTGTCTGCCGCCTCTCTGGTCTGCTTGCTGCCTCCCTGGGTGGATGCCTCACTCATGGCTTTCACTTGCTGCTTCTCCCCTTCCTCAGGTAATTGCAGCCACCAACAGGGTGGACATCCTGGACCCCGCCCTGCTCCGCTCAGGCCGCCTGGACCGAAAGATTGAGTTCCCAATGCCCAACGAGGAGGCTCGGGCCCGGATCATGCAGATCCACTCTCGGAAGATGAACGTCAGGTGAGCAGTCCTCAGTGGGCCGGTTGTGCCTTCCCCAGCTGCGCACACAGCTCCGCGCCCGCCCTGCCCCCTTTCGTCGCTCCCTGTACATCCCGCGGGGACCTGGCCATTCTGGGCGCTGTGCTCCTGGGATCCACCTGCACCTCACCCTCCCCAACGGGGCAGCCGGGGCCAGCAGCCTGGGTTCTGGGGATGCGTATGTCCTTCAGCCGGCGACAAGCTCTCCTGCCTCTTTTCTTGCTTGCGATCTCATGGGGTTGTGGGGTTGGGTGGCAGTGTGAGTGCAGCGCCGGCCCGGCCCAGGCCCTGCAGCAGGGGAGCGAGCAGCAGCCAGGCCGACGACACCAGACGCAGTCCAGGCAGTGAGCAAGGTCTTGCCCACCGCAGGGCTGTGTGACAGGCCACACTGTGTCCTCTCCCCAGCCCGGACGTGAACTACGAGGAGCTGGCCCGCTGCACCGATGACTTCAACGGAGCCCAGTGCAAGGCCGTGTGTGTGGAGGCGGTGAGTGGCCGCTCTTGCCCTGTCCCCTCCCTGGACAGGATGTGGTGTGTGGCCGGGCTCGGGGTGCAGGCAGCCCCCCAGACCTGTCTGTTCACTGCAGGGCATGATCGCACTGCGCAGGGGGGCCACAGAGCTGACCCACGAGGACTACATGGAGGGCATCCTGGAGGTGCAGGCCAAGAAGAAAGCCAACCTGCAGTACTACGCGTAGGCCGGCTGGGCGCCCTGCCTCGCAATAAACGTGTCCCGTCCACTACCTGTCTCCTTCCTGGACTCTGGGGGAGCGGGGATGGTGTGGCAGGTCCCTTCTGTCCCCAGACAGCTTGGGCCCTTAACCAGTTGCCAGGGTGAGGCTGTCCAGGTCATGTGGGCACTGCAGCTGCTGCCTGGGCCCAGCACCTTCAGCCCTCGCCCACCCAGCACCCTTCGGAGCTCTCCAGGCTCCCTGGTTGTGCAGTGCCAGAGGGAAGGAAGCGGAACTCAGTCAGAGGCCACTGAGTGACATCCCCAGCCTTTGATTTGATACAGCTACCCACACTGGCCTTGACTGCAATCCTCCTGCCTCAGCCTGCTGAGTAGGTGGAATTAGGGTGTGCCGTCGCGCCTGGTGTTTTACCTTCTTTGTGCCTTTGAGAGCTCAGGCCCTAGTGCTTGCCGACTTGTAAAGCCAGGTTTCAGATCTTTGTCCTTGAAATGTCCCACTTGTTTCCCAGCTCAGGGACTTCCTGTTTCTCCATCTGCCCCCATTAGGCTTCCCCTTGCTTTTGGCTGAAAACCAGTCTTGAGCAAGGTCCACTCTGACAGCCCTTCCAGCCAGTCAGGCGGGGCCGTGGTCTGAGGCCAGTCTCCCCACCCAGCCTGGGCCCGGCGTGGGCCGTCAGTCCGGGGCTTAGTGGGCTGCAAGCTGTAGGTGGGTTGTGGGGTTTCACGTGGTTAGCAGAATAAGCCCCATGCTAACCCTGTGGTACAGGTAAGACAGCAGCTGGGCCTGGATGACAACTGTCACCCGAGGACAGAGCCAGTGTCTGTCCCTGTGGTGCTTTGGTGGCTCCCAAACAAACGGTCCTCCCAGAGCTTCAGCTGTGGCCAGCAAGGGGCAAAGTTCTCCCCCGCCCCGTTCCCTCGCCTCTCCCACCCCTATGGTCGCAGGCCTGCAGGTGCAGATCTCCCAGAGGCCAGTGCCCCCCCAGCTCTGCTTTGTGGTCTCCCTGAGGTCCTGGCTCACTCTGGCCCCACGGACACAGCCCGGGCCAGGGCACCCAGTGACCTACACTTGGGGCTGTTTGGTTACACCAGGCCCAGGCTGATGAGGGGTCGTCCCCTCCCTACTGGGAATTGAACTGAGGACCTTGTGTTTGCTGCAGGACTGGTTCGGTGCCAGAGCTAAATCCCAGCCCCTGATGTTCTAGAGTTACTTTGCCAGATGGGCCACAACTAGGCGGTTGCCCTTGCAATGCTCTGCTGCTAGAACTCCAGAGCCCAGCCTTCCCAGCTAGAGGGAGCTGGCTCTGTTCGCCCGCCCACAGTCCTTGGCTTTGCGGAGGGGCAGCGCCCCCTGGTGCCTGCTTTTACACGGTGCTCTGATCCGGCGGAGGCCAGGCCTGGAGATGAGTGAGGGGCTGCCCTGCCTTGATTAAACCGAAAGTGGGCGAGGCGGGCAGCGGCCGGCTTGTTAGGTTCACCGAGGAGAGGGAAGCCGAGTCCGTGGGAGGGCTCGGATGCTCAGCGACAGGGCTGCCACAGGCGCAGACGGGACCTGGCCGAGGCCGTGGTCTGAGTGTTTATTCGGTGCCATCTATAGACGGGGATGTACAGATGCGGGTGAGTACACCCCAGTGTCCCAGGACCTCGCAGCCCGCTCAGCCGCGTCCCCACACAGCGCCAGCCGGCTGCGGGCGGCTGGGAGAGCGGACCGCTGTGTCCTCCGGGCCACATTCCTGAGCGCTG